GTGCCAACAGGCATAACATAAAATGTCTGTTGTCTGATACAAAATGGTTGCCTGTTTCATAAAAAGGTTGTTCTGAGGACAGAATTTTGCAAAACACAAAAACAAGTATACACAATTTTTTTTTTTTACTTTTCGGCTCCAAAAGGCTGTAGAAAAAAGAAACTGGTTAATATATTTATCTGCCAAAATCCTCTTATGTAGTTACATCAATAGAAATCCAATGGCATAACCCACAGTGGCAAACTGTCAATAATTAACGAATCCACACTTAAATTCCTAGTCACACACCTGGTGTACAATGAGGAATCAAACCAGGGACTCATTAACTGGTGTCCATTTGCTATTGCCAGTTATGCCATTTTCCTTCCACTAGCTTAACTGCACAAGATTTTAGTCGTAGTGTACAACTGTTTGGTATACTAAACCCTAAAGTGTTTTGTTTGTGGTCCAGAGGCCACAGGTCTCAAAAAATGGAGAGGGGTTATTTTGTAAATAACAAAAATTTAAGTGCTCAAAAGTCCATTTCTGCTTTTGAAGAATGGTCATTTGGGGTGTCAAACACTGCAAGGAGCCCCCACAACCTATTTTCAGCCTCTGAAGGTTTTCAGGAGTGGCACATCACAGGACAGAATTCAGAGGAACACTGCCTCTAGTGTGCATTATGTGCCATCAAATCAGATCTAATATGGGAACCCTAACAAGAGGTTCAAGGTAAGATATTTAAAGAGTGGTTTTACCAGTATCCCCATCAATATTTTCCTTAGCCAAGCAGTGATTCAAACCCGGATCTGAGACCTGCTCCATCAATCTATTCACCACTAGAAGTCATGTACAACTAGCATGACTAGCAATGTGCTAATAAACGTATCCTTAAAAACACTGACTATGCTCGCAGGTTTTGTGCCAAATTAGGCTTCAGTTTCTCATAAAACAATGAACAAAAATTGGTGCATGGGTCCATAACATATATCAAGCTTCATACTGCACTACATAATGCACTTACACAGAAACCATGCACAGGAAATTGCTCATTGAATGAAGCTGCTGTTGTTATGTGCTGTTAAGGCACTTGTAACTTACAGTAACTCTAAGAGAGCTTTTTTAGGTGTGTGAGATGTTCAAGGAGTGGTTCATCACTAACACTCCCAGTGAGTTTTCATGGCCAACAGGGGATTTGAACCCATATCTTTTGAGTTCAGTCTGATACTTTCTCTACTTACACCATGCTAGTTATTCCTTATGTGGCATTATCTTAATATTTAAGAGTAGAACTAACTGTCAGTTTGCTCCACTTTTACAAAATAAAAATCTTATTAACATATAAAGTTACTTGTCATAAAATGAACCTTGTGACATACAAATGAATAACCAAGAACAAAACTATTCATGTCTGCATTACTATAAATTTGGCCATAGATACTATCACCAATACAGTACTGTAATCCAAACCCAAAAACCCACCAGATTGCTAGGAAGTGAGCCCAGAGTGAAATAATGATTGCAAAATTGCCAAGTTTGGCAGCCACACAACAACATAATAGTTTCACAACAATGTGAACAAATGCTTTTATTTCATTGTTTTGTATTTCAGGAATATGCCAACTAACCCCAAGCAGTGGGAAAATCATTTGTTTGAGAGTCAAATATACCTACTATTAAAAATCAAAGCACCCAACTTCATGCCTCTTTTTCTTCAATAAAAAAAGATTCACTGCTTTAATGTAACAAGTAAGCTCTTTAAAATAAAGACCACATAATGCATTAAAATGACAAGCTATTAGTATTAGTGGATGCATCCACTATTTCTACCAACTTCTGAAAGGAAGGAGGAAGGCTCAGCACTATTTTAAAAAAAGAAATTAGCAGCCATAAGAATTAAGCTGTCATTTGGTTAGGTTGTACACTACATAAGGAAGCATTTAAATATTTTAATAAAAAGTAACATTTTCTTTCTTTGAATAGAAAATGACACAAGGTGACAAATGCAGACATCCATACACCTTATACATCTAGAACCCAGAACAAGGATAATGAATTGCATTATATACATGAAGCCAAATATATTTTGCAAAGAGTCCTTTACAGTTGCCCTGACAGCTGTAAAAGAGCCATTACTATAAACAGAAGAGCAGATTACAGCAAGTTTTGCTATATCAAAGCTTCCATACAGTAAAAAGATTATGTTGCTGATCAGATACATAGTGCTCCACATTTGAGTAGTACTCTTGCAAGGATGTACAGAAGATTACAAAGGAAGTATCTGACCAGGCTGGATAAAAATCAGTGATTTTTTTAAAAAAATCAAATTGATTTAAATCACAATTTAATAATTTCAATCACTAAGAAAATCTTGTTTGTTTGTTTGTTTAAATCAATTTGATTGAAATAGAATCCACAATGTCGCTGACAGAGCTGAACATTCTGTGGACCACGTAATTGATAGACAGGATGGGCAGGCAGCTTGTCTGCCACCTAGATCCGACCCCCTCTTTCAGTAAGGCTGCAGGAATAGGAATTCAAAGCAATGCAATGTTTCCGACATGGAGAGGATAATCTTTAGATGGAAAAGAGAATTATAGCAAGGAAGGCACAGAGAGAAGTGACAGAAGCAGCGAGGAAATTAGGATTATGACAGAAGGGGAAAGAAAAGAGAAAAATGTTAGAGAAGAAACTGGCAAGAAATTCTATATTTAAGAGACAGGAAGAAAAGTAAAGCAGAGGAGAAATATCATAAGGAATATACAAAAACATTTGAAATTAGTGGAATGCATCTAGGGTCGAAGCACACAAGAACACATACCAGTTGTGCCCTATCCAGATTGAAGGGAAAAGCAGCTAGTTTTACACAGTACATGTGAGGAATCAAAAATAAACTGGTTCTCATGATTCAGTAATACACCTCTTCTGATAAACTGATTGTTTTATTGTTGAAACATGATAGATGCACACACCATTGGCACAGGTAGATCTAGGCATTTTCTCTCAAGCTGGCTCTACTATTCTGAAGATACTACATTTTATCCCTCTTGAAAGCACAGTATTTTGTCTACAGAAAAGTACAAATTCACCATTAACATTGCTGCTGCAAAATACTGTGAATAATGCCTTCTCAATTTAGATATCATTTGACTGCCCCTTATAAAACTTCGCTAGACCACAGCCCCCATTTCTCTAGGCCAAGCAAGATTTTCCCTTGCTTTCTCTGAATCCCAATGGTCGACACTTTGATGCTAAACAATGGTCTATTCAAACTGCAAGTAAATACAGTCGCCTCACTTCTTCCTAACAATACAAAGCAATAACTAGCCAGAGACACCCATTTCTCAAGGCACCTGTGAGATTCAAAGCATTAAATTTCCCATGTCACCATACCACTGGTAAGGCTTTGAGCTCCCAACTAAATATTGAGCTAATTAAGTGTTGGAAATATTTGTGCAAAGCCATTAAGTGGAAACTATCACTTATTTCTAGGCTACCTAGATATTTTACATTTCTTTTGTTATATACCCTGCTTAATTCATTCATCCTCTTCCTTCTTCATTTTTATAAAGACTTACTAGCTTGCGACCTGGAAGTTTGTTGTTTAGAAATATGCTAAAGTAATATTCTCATTTGCCTGAACAGTAGTGTTAATCAAAAGACTTTAAGTTAAATGTGCTTCTTTAAAACAAGAAGTTATCAATCACCTGGTACTTCCCCCACTACCCACACTATACTTTATATTCCCAGAGGCATTGTAGTTTCTCTTCTTCTCTGACTAGGCAGGAAATAATCGCATAGTGGAACCAACATTCCCTCTAAGCTGCATGGGTACATAGCTGCACAATGCTGTATTGGTGCCACACACCTGCAGTTAGTGTTGCTGCTCACCAGTTGCAGCCAGAACTCTGTGTGCATGGGCTGGGGTTTCTGCTCAGTGCTGGTGGAAAATTAGAGGGAACATTGAATGGAACCTATATTTAGGAAAGGAGATTAGCCTAAAAGTAGCTTACTTCAGAAGGATGTTGCACAAAATCGTCTCTGACATAGCTGCACAAGTGTCACAGCTGTGGGTGTGAGCCTAAATGAAAGGCAGTCACATCAATAGTAGCTTACAAAACACTCCTGTCCCAGTATGATTTTTATAACTTAGACAGTTGAGGAGTATATTAAGAAAAAGAAGAAATAAAGCCAACTCTGGACTACTGTTAAAAGCTAATTACTAAGGTGAGACGATTTATACTCCCAGCCCCTGATGTAACTCTACTGGTTGTTTAACCAATATGGTCAAGCCATATATCCTAAACTATACTATAATGCAAGAAATAAATCTCCAGCCAATAACAGAATAGGATAGGGAAGGGAAGGCACAGTATAAAAACAGAGAGGATGCTTAGAGTACTTGCAATGGCTTTTCAATAACAAGACTGTTGTATAGTAAGGTCCCCATATGCACAGGGATCCATTCCATGAGTTAAATGTCTTTCATCACTGTTATATTGTTCAAGAGTGTGTGGCAAATCAGTCAACACAGGCCTGCATCCTCTTGTGGAGCTCCACCTGAGCAGCAGGAATGACATCACTGACAGCAGTTTCTTTTCCAGTTTCAGAATACATGCAACCCCAATGCAGTGAGACAAAGACATGTGCCCCCTGAAGTCAAAGAAAAAAACTCTTTAATTAGTGGCAATTTTACCACTGTCACAGATGGAGCTCTCCAAAAAAATATCGGCCTCTGTTTTCAAAAAGCTCTGGAATATAGTAACAATAAGTTTCTTTTTCATCGAATGGAAGAGAAAACTGTGGCCTACAAAGTAGCAGATCCTTGAAAAATCATATTCCTGGAGATTTTGTTTGTAGTTTACACCTACCATTCAGTCAAAGGAGGAAAAGAATTTTAATACATCAATTATATTAGTAAATCATGTAAAAAATGTACCAAAATACAAAATGTACCAGATCATACTCTCCTCAGAAGAGACAACCATAGTTTCTTTAAAAAAAGCTAAAATAAATCTTACCAAACGCCTGGAAAATTCTTTATTTTCAGAAAGGAATCCATATCCCGGGTGGACCTTTAAAAATAAAAGTCAAGAGTAGATTTCGTAACTTCAGATATCTGGAAGCTTGATACAGACAATATCTCCACTCTAATTAAAATGTATGTATGTATGTATGTATGTATGTATGTACGTATGTATGTATGTATGTATGTATGTATGTATGTATGTATGTATGTATGTATGTACTCAAGTGAGTAGATCCTGTCAAAATATCCTTTACACCACATAGTATCTCAAAGGATTATAAATCATGACTTGCTGATGTACAGCTTGGGAACTTACTTTTACAAAGTAATTAC